TATCATAGTTAGACACCGGGCAGTGTGCTAGCGAGGACGCTGGCCCCTAAGGGGGGTGGATTGTGAGATCGCACATCAATTGGAGAGGGGAACAAACATTTCCTTATCGGTTGGAGAGGGGAACAAAGCATTCCTTATAAGGGTGTGGAAACCTCTCTAAGACACGTTTTAAAATCTTGAAGGAAAGCCCGAAAGGGAAAGCCCAAAGAGGACAAGCTTGTGTACAATAGGATAAGGTGAGAGAGAGAGAGAGAGAGAGAGAGAATTCAGCATTATTTCGGTTATCCTTGATTGCAGAACGTTTTGTATTAGTCCATTGCTGCTAGTTGCTGCAAGCATGAGTTTGAGAACTATTCTTCTCTTTCAACTGCTATGATATATACTTGTTTTGTTGTAAAAATATTTTGGGGGAATTTGGGTTTGAGAGCTCTCTCTTCATGTTAGACATTCCTAGCCAATTTATGCTACAAAGTTGATATATTGTTTACTATGTCATTTAGTGGGCCAAGATATTCGAGACAATAGATTCTCTGGTGGAGCTGAGGCATTCGCCAGAAGGAACGCCAGTGGGCATGGTTTGCACGGTGATCATTCCAGACACAGATCATCTGATGATGTACCGTCTTCCAAGGATGTGGTACTGCTCCAACTTGAGTTTGGTTCACTCTTTCAGCGTATACTATGCTGTTTTCTCTACTCTAACCAAGTTGAAACGTTTTCTTTCATTACAGCAAGTTGATTCAGAAAGGGTCCGCAGTAGTTATAGGAATGGAAGCATCTCGAAGAGGCCTGTTTTATCGAGCAGTCGACCAAGCTCCTCTGGGGAGCCTAGTGAAATCCGATCAAGTCGGCTGGTGTCAACAAGTAGTCGCCTATCTGGAGGGCAAAGGGTTCAACCTGGTTTCGAGTCGAAAACAACAAACTTTACCCGTTCGACAACTACAAAAGGTGGTCGTGATGATACACTCCGGAGCTTCGAGATGTTGTCTATTGGAACTGGGAAGAGGAAATGAAAGAAAACAGATGAATCTTGGTATAACTAGTGACGGTGTGAATGGTCAAAACATAACAACACCCTATGTATCTTCTTCTGTAAAATGCTCCCAGCTCCTACGGTATGTATGTTATATCATTTGAACCTTGTATATGTGTATCGATCATCGGTTGGCTCGGTTCATCCACACGTTACAAAATCTAATGAAATTTGCTCTGCAAAAACACTGTTGGAAGCAAAACCTCCATGGATTTTCTTGATTACAATGGTGCTTGTTCTTGTTTGGTTCTAGGAAGTTGTTAATAATACATTTGAGACAGTTACTCCAACATCCTTTTTGCTTTCCTCTATTCATTCATTTTTACAGTTAAGTATGCAAATCTAAGGCTAAGATTAAGCATTATGTTTGCTTGTTGGGAAGAAGAATTATATATATATATATATAGATTTTTATGAAAAATCCTTTTATGATTCTTCTTTCCATATTTTATTCTATGAATTTATTTTGATGAATTAAATACTCTTGTTTAGAGATGTTTATGAGGCGGGCTGGCCTTTTCATTCATGTTGATTTCCTATTTCATTCTCCATTCTTGAGATATTTTTTATTTACTTTACGAGAATTGGAGTCTAAGATTCTTTGTAGAGAATTTTTCTTCATTTTTTTTATGACACTATATTTTCTAATATAATTTTTATTAGAATTAATATTGTAATAAATTTGATTATATTTCAAAAGAAAAATGTAATATAATGTTTAATATAGTTTCTCCATTTTTTAAAATAACATGCAATGTAAGGTTGTGCCATGACTAAAAAAAAGTTTTACTTTGAATTTTGACTTTGAATTCTTACTTCTATTGAATTCTTAGTTTTTGTAAAATTTTCCAAATGATATGTCGAAGATATACGAGGTTATATTTCCACCATGTATAGAAGGAATGTTAATAAAGACTATTTTTAAAAACAAAAATTAACTATAAACTAATGGTAGGGTCAACTTTAGACTTTACTGAACTTAGAAAAACATTTAATGAGTTGTTTTTATAGAATTTCCCTCTTGTTTCACCAAACCTTCAAAAGTTCAAAGCATCATGCTTTTGTCTTGTAGGTTCGAATGGACTGATGTTGAAGATTCAACAATGAGTTGTGGTTAGAAGTGGAGTGTCACTCAAACCCAGAGCTAGATGGTTCTCTTCGAAATGCGTTGAAGCGCAGCAGTTGATTAGAGACATCTAGGGATAAACCACTGTTTCAGTGGGGGCCGCGAGAACAATACCAAATCGAAGCAAACTCTGAATACTAGATATGATCTCAAAATAATATGGGTCAAGGTCGGCCAGGAAGACGATGAGGGATAAGCTTCATTGTCGAGAGGGAAACAAGCCCGAATTACTAGGTAAGGCTCCTAAATGACCGCTCAGTAATAAATGAGATAGGTGTGCAAAAACCGCCACCCTTGAAATAGTACGTAAAAGCTCAAACCCTAAAATTAAAAACATTTAACATACACGGACTAAAATGGAATGGAACTTAGAAGTACATCCAACCAAAATAATATTTTAACAAAAAGAAATTAACAATTCATTTAAATTTATAATAGAATTGAGGTTGTAACCCTAATATCTCTATTTAGCTCGAGAAACTTTAACCTCCATTCCCTTCCCTAATCCCCACCGATCCCGAGGGAAATAGACATCCGTCACAAACCTTACAAACTAACGTTGAACTAATCACAAATAAACCCATTTTAAACTAACCCAACTCAATCAAAAGTGAAATAACAATAAAATATTTACGTAACGAAAACGATTATCAATTTATAAAACAAGATTAAGCAACCGAGCTTAATTTAGACTATAGATAAATTTGCTAATGTGGAGTGATTGGAACGTCTAGCTTGTCAGTCGAAGATATATATTGTAACAAGTTAAGCTCGATTCGAGTTGACTATATCACTCGAAGACAAAGACGGTTAAAGAAACGTATATTCAAATAAGGGTAAGGGCCTCTAAGCTAAAGCATAGATGAAACAAAAAGTGGCTTTCTTTGGTAGGATGAGTGTGTCCTAAAGCGAAGCCATTTAGTAGGTTACCTCTCTTTCAAATGTGCATTAAATTTCACCTTTTTCACCTCTATAAATTGAACCTCTCAGCATCTCCAAATGCAATATCATCTCTGTTTTGCGCATTTCCGCCATGGCCGCCTTCTTCCTTCAAGCTCCTCTGTTTGCTCTGTTTGCTCTGTTTTTCCTCACAGCCTTCTCACCTTCTCTGGCTTTCCCATGGAGTTCTTCCCCCTATGAAAAATCTGGTTGGAACCCATCATTAGAAGAGCTGTTATCGGCCTCCGGCGAGGCTTCTTCCCGGCCGCCTCGCCGGAAAAGCACAATTTTTGGTGCCCCTTGTGGGCTCTGTGGTCAAGTGATATTTGGCTCTGAAGCTCTAAATCACCATTACAATTACCACTTCTTGCAGAATGATCTTGCTTCTTATGGTAGCCGCTTGGTTCCTTCTTCGGCAAGCTCTCAGCGGCCGCCGGTATGGACCGATTATTTCCATGGACAAGCCTCTGCTTCTCGAGAACCCCAAATTACGCTTAACAATTGTTTGACGATGCCACCGCCGCGGCAGCCGTCGTCTCTTAGAAGCTACCCCAGCCCCACCGTCGACATGGCTCACTTATTACCGCTTCATCCGTTGTTGGCCCAACCGCCGCCGCCGCGTCGGACTACCACCGCCAACGGTGTTAACGAGGATGCAGCGGGGCAGAGGTGGCAGGGGAACCAAAATCAAAGGAATAATGGTGGCGCAAGGACGACCGCTGCCCGGTCGGCGGCGGAGCAGCGGCAGCCACGGCAAGAAGTGATTGATCTCAACAGTACTGAGGAGAATGATTGTAGCTCTGATGGGTCAGATGGCTTGGATTTGACATTAAGCCTTTGAAGAATTTTATGTTTTTTTTTTTTTTTTTTTTTTTTAAATTTTTGGGTCTTTGATTTTTTCCATTAATAAAAGTTTTTCATTTTTAATTGAAATTTGTTTAAATTTAAAAAAAAATAAAAAGATTGATTTATTTATTATCTACAATACAAACAAATTAATACAAGGCAACATCGTACAAAAGTAAGTAAAAGTTTTTTATTATTAATGAATTCAGTTGTGTTTTTATTAACTTTAAATATATATATATATATATATATATATATAAAGTTTAAAATATTATGTTTTTTATTGGTTTCAACAATAAATGACGGTTAATTCTTTTGTCGTATGAGATAAGGACGAAAGAAAATGAGAAGAAAAAACTCTTACCATCTATTGGTCCTTTTTAAGATATTATTTTAGACTACATAATAGGATGTTTTATTATCACTCACCTGCTTCTTATTAAGGCAATCTCGAAAAGATTACTTAATGTGGGTTCTTTATAGAATACTTTTAAGAGAGGAGACTATCTTCATAGACTAACTTGGGTCGTTTTAAGATGTTTCTAAAGTTATCATAATTAAGCCACCAAAAAATAAAATTCATATTGTTAGTATAGATAATAACTATCAATTTTAAATATTGATCACTCTCATTCTGAGCATAGGGCAATATAGGTGGGACATGGGAAAGAAACAATTCTTATAAGAACATAGAAACCTCTTCTACCATTTTGAAACCTTCCATAAGAGAAAATAACAATATCTATTAGCAGTGAACTTTAGCATTTTAAAACCTCTCATAAGAAAGAACACGTAGATATGGAACTTAAAAAAAAAACATATATATATATATATATATATATTAATGTTAGGAAATTGAACTTCAAATTAAGCCGTGACATTAAGAATAGAAATGGATTAAATGTTTTACCAATAGAAGTATATACTTTGTTAAGCAATTATTAATGTAATTAAGCTTGCATTAAATTTCTTTATTCAGTCGAGATATAATGGACTTTACATGTATAGAAATCACATCCTTGTCAATGTAGCCCTGCCCTGGTATGCTAAAGAACAATGACAACAATAGCCGAGGCATCGTTTGATGTCTACGAGTATTCGAGAATCTTCGACGTCCTTCACAATAAGCATGTAAATTTCATCGTGTATTTGCATAGCATTGAGTGGAAGCAGTGGAAACAATTCTACAGAAAAGTTAGCAGATGAATTCAAGAGTGATTCATATGTCATCTAAGAACTTGGAAACTCTAAACATATAGATGAAAGGGGGTAAAATTACTATATTCAAATCAGAGATGCACATATTAGACAAGAGTAAAGGCTATTCTAATGATATGATAGGTTCAACTGGGGTGAAATCATGCAGTAGAGGGCAGACTTTAAAAGAATCACGTCTGCAAGCTCTGAAAATAACAAGAGAAATTCAAGGATTTGGAAGTAGTTTATCACCTTCATTGCCGTCGTCGTCGTCACTGTTGCCTGGCTTTTCGCCGAGCTTTTCACCCAACTTTTCATATGCAACATTCAGAACTCCATGGTTTGGTTCTTATTCTACTACCACGAGCCCCACATGGAGCGATTTACACGAGGAAAGAATATCTGAAAAATCACCATTCCCAGAAGATACCCTTGAAAGCCATATTTGGGAGGCAACATTAACATCAGAGGTCAACACCTTTGGGACTACTTGATCCCAAGGTTGAGGAAGAAGAGAAACCCATCAAGCTTTTTAAGAGGAGTTTGCTCAAAGCTCATGGCGTTTTGTCCTACCCGCCCAGAGTGATCAGGATATAGAAAAGCTTCTGATAAAAGTGAAGAATGAAGATAGAAGTGTTTGGTACTGCACTATGAATTGGTTAGCAACGATATATTTCTAACACAGGGTATAAGTAAGAGTTAAAGCAGATGAAGCAGGCTTGGCCATGAAACCATGCTTGAAATCATCTTAATTTGTAGCACAACTGCAGTATCTAATATTTTCATCAATGAATTGGGCACTCAAGGGAATCCAGACATAAAATTCAGAAAAGCAAATAGAAATCGAAAACCATATCCATAGCCACAGAAACCCGATTTAACAGTTGAGCAGAAAAGCATCAGCACTCAGCAGATTCAGATACATGCTTAATTGGAGTGATGTAGGCATCTTGTGAAGAAATTAAGTAAAAACTCGCTACACTAGATGTTCAGAATTCCATAAACCTCAAAACAACCCCGAACAGCCCCGAACTCCTGAGGCTTGAGAAACAGAAGTGAAAAAATCCAAAACTGATAACTTCAACTAGTAACAAAATTTGACGCTAGAGAAATACACTTCCTAAGATTCACTCTTTTTCAGCTTTGCAAGCTCTTGCCTCACCAATCCAGCTCTCTGCAAAAACAGAGTAAATAATAATGTTGATCCATAAGCATTGAGTTGACATCCAGCCAGTACACAATAGAAACAATAGAACATTTCATGTCTCGCTGATTAATAAGTCAAAACTTATTTCAAACTCTTTCATGTATCAAATGCATAAAAAAAGGTCAAAAACAAACAAGAGAAAGTACAAACTACAGATTGCATCACAACATCACTGACCTTTATCTTAGCCAACATTAGCTTGAACCTATCAAAATCATTAAGTGATGCCCTTCTTTTCTTCACGAGTAGTTTTCTTCCCCAAGAGCTATCCTCCCACTTCTTCTGAACGTCTGACATGATCAAAACAACAGGTTAAAGCAAACAAAGAACATGAAAGGTGAGGTGCGGTGGGGTGGGTATCAGAAAGTGAAAATTGAGTTAAGAAGTATACCAGCAGCCTTCATAGCTTCAATGAGTTCCTTCTTTCTAGGGACTCTCTTAATGTCAATTTTAATGTCAGTAAGAGAGAGTCTCTTGAAGTTCATTTGAGATCTGACCATATCAGGAGCATCTACCAAAGCCTGTATGTGGTAGCATTACAATTATAGAGTGAGAAACTAATCAAATCTTAAAGAAACTAAAACCGAGCCACCAGGAAATGACAACAAAAGATACAAAGTTCAAAACAAAACTGTGGACACAGATGATAACTCCATCCAGATCCTCTTTTTCAACCAAAAAGATTTGATATTGTGAGCTCATGTGAGCTCAGAACCATAAATTTGAATTATTCAAACATCCCTAACGATCAAGCTAACAGAAGAGCTAACCTATTAATAAACTAAAATTTGCATGTTCAACCACACTATCGATCAGGAACAGAAGAGCTAACCAATGACAATGCCATAAATTACTTCAACAGTATCACTTCAAATAGAAGAGTTTGAAGAAGCTAAGAGGTGGTTATTTCATTAAATTCCAGAGAAATGAGCATCTATACTGATGAGGGCACTTCCAAGACAAATAGTGGGGAAAAGAAAGCTTCAGTTATCAGTGGATTTCTAAAATCTAAGAGGATTGGTACAACTTCAAGCTGAAAACTAGTAATCATCGACCAAATTCAATAGTAATAGCAAAAAGAACATACTCTATTTTGGTCAATAACATCGACAATGACGACAAGCTTTCCGTAGTCTTCGCCATAGTTGACGAGAGCGACTCTCCCGATCTCAACGTACCTCTTGAACGGCTGAAGAACCAATAAAAGAACACATCATTCAAACACAACTCGTAGAACAAAAACTAGGGAAGAAAATTATACGATCATACTCTGTAGATTTTTGGTTCAACATAAAGAAACTAAGGACGGGAATGCTTACCATCTTCGGAATGTTAGGGTTTCCACAGATGGGCAAGGCGATGAGAGAAGATTACACGATGTCGCAATTAGGGTTTGTTCTTCCCATGTAGATCCAAATAATCCTCTGGATGAGAAAACCCGACTGTTCTGTTCATAACTTTAAAATTACGATTCAGACCCCCACGGTACTTTGTGAAATTGTTAGATCATTATATTTTGAAGAAAAAAAAACAAACACAAAAATATTTTGAAAAATAATTAGTGGATTATAATATATTTTAAATTATTTAAAACAGTAGATTATTTGTAATGACTTAATTTAGTATAACAATGTGAACGTTTAAAAATTTGGATAGTGATTATGTGTCAACACCGTAATACAAAACTGTATTTATACAGTGTAAAATATTAATTCTTCATCCACAAAATATTCAACTTTTTTCATAACTGAATAGACACTGTATTTAGAGATGCATTTCACCAATTCATCTCGAGAATTTCAATCGAGACGGTACGAGAGAGTTTGATCTAGTGTCCTAGGGTGAGTCGAGCCAAAGCATCGACATTGTCATTTTGGAGTGCATATTTGCTTCACTTCCACGACTTGATAGCAATTAAGAAAGCTCCACTTAGCAAATGTAGAGGGTAATCTTATTATTCACAAATCTAATTATTCATCGATCGTTGTAGATCGTTGTAGGTCTAAGATCTTACGTGTCTCTCACTTGAAATTTCTGGAAATGATGCTCCCTACCCGATATTGTTATTGTCTTATGCTTACATTCTCATATAACATCAATTTCAATTTCTCAAATTTTGCTTTCAAAACTCTTTCCACCCATTTTCTAAAACTTTGTTCTTGAACCGGGGCCAGAAGCTTAAGCATACGTCGCTTGACCGTAGGCGACACAAGAACGAATAGGCTTAAATCACTTGTGGGTGGAAGTGCATGTCTCACAATCACAAGTCCACTGGCATCAAAGTGCGATTGTGACAGAACTCATAGGGCGTGCTAATCTGGTCTATTGTCACTTCAACTCAAGACATGGATGTTCGCACTAGAAGAGTATCGTTTAATCGTTGCACCTTGATTGAATTTTTTTTTTTTTTTTTTTTGTCCAAAATACCAGGTAGAAATCACATTGCATTAGCATTTGAAAGGGCAATCACACCACTTCGTTTTAATTAAAGAATCAAAACATCACAAAAACTTGTATAAATTGTTTACATTGCATCCATGGAGGGCACCATTCAATAAAAATCTTCATTACCCCAATTAGATTTGCATTTTAAGTCCCATGATTTTTTCCTATGCATCCAAGATTTGGGTTCAATATATCATAAAAAAAAAAAATTAACTAAAACAAACCATTATCCACAAACGACGCCATTGAAAGGCACAACAGAGAAGGAATGGTAAACGAGAACATTCCTGTCAGCAATGTTTATGTCAAACGATTGCACCTTTGCTACTTCGCACCATTGAAGAGGATGCTGATTCACTCATTACAGGGCATAACCAGAAAATAACTGAAGCTCGTAACTAGGGTTTTTCTCGATCCCGAGCGTAATCAGCAAGTAGAGAAGCCACCAAAATTTCTAACCTAAGTTCGCTCAAAGCAGATGTCTCAGAGTTCTACACCAGTCCACAGAGGACAGGATTTAAAAAAGCTTTTGATAAAATGGTTTGATAGTGCACTAAGATCTGGTAGCAATCATATACTTTTTGAACTACTTACTAAATGAAAGTTCAAGCAAGTGAAGCAGACATTAAACAAACAAACAAATAGAAAACAAAAGGCATATGCAGTTGTACTCACTACACTTGGATGTCCAAAACTCCATGCACTTCAGAAGCAACCCAAATTCTCAAGTGCTTGAGAAGCAAAAGGGAGAACAATCCACAACATTTAAATTGATCTCTAACAAAATTTGAAGATAAAGAAATGGTTTTCTAAGATTCACTCTTTTTCAGCTTTGCAAGCTCTTGCCTCACCAATCCAGCTCTCTGCAAAAAAAAATATATATATATATCCATTTGAGGAATAGGTTGCCATGAATCAAGAACACGAGAGGAACAGCGGGTTTAGAGTTCTTATACTTATCGATGCCAAAGAAAGAGGGTGGGGGGAATAAGAGAAAGTACAGACGCATCACATATCATCACTGACCTTTATCTTGGCCAACATTAGCTTGAACCTATCAAAATCGTTAAGGGATGCCCTTCGTTTTTTAACGAGAAGTTTTCGCCCCCAAGAGCTATCCTCCCACTTTTTCTGAACATCTGACATGACGGAAACAACGGGTTAGACTTGAGGCAAACAAAAACAACACCCCAATTGAGGGTGGTAGTAGAAGAATTAGGTATTTGAAAGTGAAATCAGTTGAAAAGCATACCAGCAGCCTTCATGGCTTCAATGAGCTCCTTCTTCCTAGGGACCCTCTTAGTGTCAATTTTAATGTCAGTAAGAGAAAGTCTCTTGAAGTTCATTTGAGACCTGACCATATCAGGAGCATCCACCAGAGCCTGTACAGAGTGGCATTAGAAAAAATATATAGAATGAACAACTAATAAAAAAAAATCGAGTGTTATATCACATGGAGGGAGGGATTCGAACCTACAACCTCTCCGAGGAAGTTAAAACGACTTAATAGTTGAGCTATGCTCATGTTGTTAGCAACTAGTCAAATATTGAAAAAAAAACTAAACCCAAGTCACCAGGAAATGACAACATAAAATGCATGCATATGCCAATTCCATCCAAATCCTTTCTTGTCTACAAAAGACAATTGGATACTGTAGAATCAAATTCAGTAGGGAAAGAAAAATGGAATATATCCATTGAAACAAGCATGAATGTTTACAAACATCCAGTGCGACATACATCTGTATTTGTAGACTCACGAGAAGTCCCAAAAACAATTAAAATCATCAGCGCATCAAACAACCATAAATTTGAACAACCAACGAAACACCCCAGAGAAAACAGTTCAAGCTAACCATCAATCAGTAGTAATTTGCATCATCCTCAACCCAACTACTGATTGAATGACCACTAATTAGCGACCTACTAAATGAACATAAAGTTAAATAAGGAATGCTGTATATTATTCCAACAATTATCACTTCAAACTTGAAAAAGCTATGAAATAATTTTCCTAGATAATAAATAGCAGAATTTTATGATATTAATATGTTTAGATCATAACGCAAACATCAAATTCAGAAGAAACAAAGGAGAGGGGAAGCATAGAGCTTCCGTTTTCCGTGGCTTATGAATGTCAAGGGGATTGATACAAATTCAAACTAAAAAGTAATACTCATCGAAAAAGTAAGTAACAGCAGAGAAAATTACTCTGTTCTGGTCAATGACATCGACAATCACAACAAGCTTTCCGTAATCTTCGCCATAGTTGACGAGAGCGACCCTCCCGATCTCAACATACCTCTTGAACGGCTACAGAAACAATTCAGAAAACACGAAATTCATAAACAATCCGCAGAAGATAAACTCATGAAGAAAACAACACCACCATGCGCTGCCGATTCGTAGTTAGGAGAAGAAATACGAAGGAAAAGAAGCCTCACCATCTTCCGGCTGTAAGGTTTTACAGAGACGGGCGACGAGCCTAGGGTTCTTTCCTCTATTCTGAGTCCAGATAATTGATTCCTTCTATATGTTATTACTTGTGAAATTACGATTTTAGGCCCCCGATTAATTTTTCTTTTCCAAGTTTTATCCCATTTAACTCTTAAAAGTTATTACGTCTATTTAATATCATTAAATTATTTTAAATCTGTAAATCTTCATTTTTATATCCAATATAAATATGTTTGATGATGAAAGTCCGGCTAATTTAGAAAAGGATCGTGCGTTTATAATCAAGGAATAGTCTCTCCATTGATTTGAGGTCTTTTAGGTCTTTTAGGTCATGGGTTTATAATCAAGGTTAAGGTTGAGAGACTCAAAATGAACAATATTATACCATTGTGAAGAGTCGTGTTCGTCTAAATAATAATTAAAATTTATTCATTCACCAATTCTAACTAACAAAACAAAAAAAAAAATTATTAAGTTTATATATAATAAATTAATAAAATTTAAATTTGGTGTCTTATCCGTTTATAATTTTTAAAATTTAATAATTTATATGAAACGCAAAATTAATAGTTCAAATACGTATAAATTATTTTATAAAGGTTAACAATTAAGACGTAAAATTAAGGGAGCAAATCACGTAAAAATTAAAACGATGAAGTTAACAATGCTACCATAAGAACATATTTGACATATTCGATACAATTTGTAGTACAACGTTTTTGCTAGTCTCGCTCATTTGGTTTGCTCGATCAAATTAGCTCTTCTACTTCTGTATGATGTGAGAGTCACATGCTCGGTGTCGTTGAACTAGTTGGTGGGATAGTTTCTTACTGACACGTCAAATCGAACTTGACAAGGAGGCTCGAGAGCGGAATAATATGTTATTATTTTTGTAATAATAAAGAAAATAAAAATAAAAACTGGTGTCACATTATATGAAGTTTTATTAATTTTTAGAAATATATAGTTTAAAAAATTATCGAACAACTCACGTGATAGTATTTTCTTGCTCGTCTGGCGACGTAAACAGCACCGCTAAAATTAGAAGAGAGATATTATCAGAACTTCTGTTACTACTCGAATCCCACACTTTCCGGTATCGTCTTCCTCTCTCCAGCCTGCCCTGATCTTTTCAATTTATCTCGCACTGCTTCGATCAGAGCTCTCAACGCCGCACCAATCACAACACAAAGGATCTCTTCTTACTGTAAGCATACATTTCTCTACTTCATTCGCCGGAGTTCTTCTTCGTTACACTTGATTGTTTTCGGCTGTACGCTGTGATCTGATTAAATTGTACATTGATTTCATCTACGTCTGTGTTATTTTCGTTCATTTTTGTTCTGGATTAAAGGTAGATGAAATTGAATGAAGAAGTTTAATTCTAGTTGAATGTCTTGATGTTGATCAACTGCAGTTTGTATTCTAATCGATATTATTTTGCGACATTACTATTATGTTGAATTCCGTATTGCTTTCTATCTCGAAGAGAAGCGACCTTTCTGTTCGACTGGTGATTGTGAAGGAATCTGACGGAAATTAATTATTTCTAAGTGTTCTCTGTGAGGAATTCATGTACTTGTTTGGATGCAGCAAGGCCTATAAATGGATGGAACTGTTTTTGCCCCTGCCTTGGAAGGGATTCAGCATGTCAAATCTGAAGCAGGGGAGATTTTGACCAAGCCTTTCTTGGAAGTGTGCAAACATATTTTGCCTGTTATAGGTGGAGTGCCTCTTGAATCCTTTTGCCTTTTAAATGATTTTCTAGTTTCCTGGCGTCTGACTGCATATGATTTCATTTTGAGGAAAGAGAGTTATATCAAGAAGATAAGCATGGGCTTTATCAGTTGCCTGCATGAAGTTAGTAGACTGATATTTCTTTGTTGGTGGACTACAGAACTAGATTTGTATTTTTAAGGCTTCTGCAGTCTTGAGTCATTTGTTTCCACATAGATATTGAATTCCTACTTCATCTCTGCATTATTGCAATCTCATACTTCGGTTAGCACAAACTGATCAGTTTTATGAATTGATATCTTAAAATTAACGTCTCAATTGTTTCTAATGCAGATAAGTTTGGAGCTTCTATGGCACTTGTTAAAACTGACATAGGAGGCAACATCTCGGTAAGATGCGCACGTCATATTCTTTTCCCATTCATTAAGTTTGTAGAATATCATTGTCTATGAGGCCTGTTTATGGCAGCCTGTTTTTTTTACTCAAGGGGGAAACATCGAAGCTTGTATGCATCTGTTCACATAATTTTATCTCTGTCTTGTTTGAGTTTATAGGCTACTAATCACTGTCACTGGACTTAGGACTTACTAATTTTCTTGTCTTCTTTCATTGGATTTTCCAAATACAATTGGAGTAAATGAGAAACGTAGCTGGAAAAGTAGAAAAAATGTATGGTATCTGAAAAGATAAAACACACATCTAACTTGAGTACTCACGGGTGTTTATAAGCATTCGTGATATAAAACTGTACTTCTTAAAGGAAGACAAATGTATGCCTTTGCTGTTCTAGAGTTTTGGGAATTATATCAATGCTTGTGATTTTGTTCCGCTAATTTCTGTAACGTTTATGTTTTCTTCACCTTAGTGTTTGTATCTGTAGAGATTGGACGCCAAGTATTGTTCCAACCCACCTGCATTCAAGTACTTGTATCACTTGGTGAAGCCTGAGATTGAAACTAATACTGCAAAAGGATCATCCAGTTGCACAAATGGTCTTCTTTGGTTGACAAGGTTAGATAATGTCTGTAGTGAATCTGTTTCTTTTTTCCTTTGGATTTTTACACCACTGGAGAATTATATGTTGAATGTTATCAAGGAAGCTTTTGAACACGAATATGTACAACTTAACTATGTTTGTCATTCCATGTTACAGTGCTAGAATCTAATTGGTGATGGTAGCCTTCCCCATCTTCCACGAGATACTTTAAAGAGATTATCAAAATGAGGCAAAATAATTTGCAGTTAACTGAAATAAGTAGATTAACTACAACTACTTCAGTTTTCCCTTGCCCCCTCTGGATGCGTATCCTTGCATTTTCTTGGTTATTGCGTTGCACACGACCTGCAATAGCATTTTGATAAAACTTCGATGTGACTCTTTGCACTTCTTAATACAAGGAATGAGTTTTTAGTTGCATCTGCAGTGTGAATGACTGAACCAAATTGCTGTTTTTCCCTTTTTTAGAAAATAATGAGTAAATCTTTGTTTTTAACTAGACCCAGAAATATAATCATCTAAATAACTCTGCAAATGATCTTGGATCAATTTGATTAACACACACTTTGATCCTACTTGCATATTTTGATCCTGTCAGAGCATTGGATTTCTTGGTACAACTGTTTCGCAACTTACTGGAGCATCAGGATTGGACAATGACCCGTGCTTGTACAGAAGCATATGGCAGAACCTTGAAAAAGTGGCATGGCTGGCTGGCCAGTTCAAGTTTCTCTGTAATCCTCTGATGCCTCTACTTAATTTAATTTTTAAATTCTTTGGTATAAGGGGTGATTTTTTATCCAATTTGTTAGTTGCAGCAGTTATTTTCCGCTTTTTTTCTCGCCTTCTTTATTTTCCTTCAACTTAGGATTTTAGAGATCAATAGAAGCTTAAAAATGTACTGAAGTATTCCGCTGAAGCCCATACGCGTATTCCTAGAGTTCTATTTCTGGTATATGTCGTGTTACTAGCATCTTTTTTGGTCTATAACTCGATTATCTTTATCGAGCATGGTGTAACATATGAGTTCACATTTCAAGATTCGAAAGTTGACGTCACTTCAGGAAACAAAAACATGTAGCACATACAGAATCGTGGCAAATTTTGTTAAACCTTCTACTGCTTCAAATACATTTATAGTGTTTGAACTAACTGGAAGTTATTTCATATCGTTAAGCTCAATCCGTGAATTCAGCTTATGAAAAACTATATGTTGATTCTAATGGGATACTAAAATTGTAGGTCGCCATGAAGCTTGCTCCCGATCGTAAGAAGTTTATGGATGTTCTATCAGGCAATGGCAATGTTGAAGCTGACATTGAGAAATTTTGTACAAAATTTTCACCTCTCCTCGCAGAGAATCACAAATTTCTGGTAAGTTTCCCCAAATTCCTGAAGAAATGTCAAACTTTCAAACTTGATAGAACTAGTTCAGTTTTGCAAGGTAGCTATGCTTTTTATTAACTGAAATTTCTGAGCCTTTAGGGCGATATTAAACTTAGTTTGGGATTGAATTTCCAAGTCCATTCAATATATTACTTTTTCTTATTCAATTTTGTATGTCATTAGTCATGAATCAATAGATTAGTATCTCCTAAATGTCTTAATTTGGTTAGGAAAATGTTTTAGAGGACTGATGAAATAAATACTCTCTTTCACAGGCTAGCTTTGGCTTGGACGATCTTAAGGCGTCGTGAGAGGCTGGTCGTCCCTGAAAATCGAGTTGTCGTCTCCTTTATATTGTTACTTCCTCTATGCACTTATATTATAGCTTATTTAAAATCCTTTTAACATCCTTAAAACTCAGACATAATCGTTAGACTTCAATTGTGTTTTGATTTGGTTTTCTCATGTTTCTATTTTGTATGTTCTTTTGTTGTGTTTCTAACACAACTAGCTCATTGACATTTTTACGCCTTAACGAGAATTCTAATCTTGTAAAATCATCTTTTAATATTTTTGACATTTATAAATTTAGAAGTTAGAAGGAAAATTAGACAAACCACCGCCCTTAAGATGATGGGTTTGTTACCATCATATTATTGAATTTTTTTTTATTAGGAAGTTCTGATTTGATTAACTCGTTTACTGAACCGTTGCAATCGCATCTAAGAGTTTTTAAATTTTGTAAATATTGTCTAATTGAAATGCAAAGTGACCCATCGTAGCTTTTTTTCAACTAAAGAAACCATAAAAATTACACAAACTCAAATAAAAAGAAAGCATAAGATAGACTTATCGCAACACTTGACAAGGTATATGGGCGAATCGATCAAATTTAAGAAGGTGGTCGTAATAAATTTCATCATTTAAGGGTAGTTTGTGCAATATTTTCTTATTAATTTCTTATTAATTTTGGTTGGTTACATAATTGTTCATATATTTCTTGTCATTTCAATAAAAAGTTAAGCACAATACTTTAGATAAATAAATAAAAACAAATGACCCATTTAAATATATATATATATATATATATATATATATATATATATATATATATATAGAATTCTAAAAACATCAACAATAGAACCAATAAAAAAAAGAAAAAAAAAACCATTGACTAAATAAGTCGGTCTTAAAAAAAAAAAAAAAAAAAAACTAAAAACAGAACAAGTAAATTAATATTTTTAAAAAAAGCAAAAAAAGATGTGATTAAAAAGGAAAAGAGAGAATATTGCGAGAGTGGATGGCCGTACAGTCCCCGCCCCAACCGCTGTTCCCGCGCTTTCACAAAACAGCCATTGAAAACCTGCACTAAGATTAGCTCATCAATCTGCCCTCTCCATTCGAATTTCTATTCCTCCTTCTCTGTAAATTCATCCTAAATTCATTCTTCTCTCAAGCAACCAGGTTTTGATTGACTGGACTCCGGCTCCGATTCCCTCCCCCTTTTCCTCACCGGTCCCTGTCGATCAAAACCTGCCGATTTCCCCCATTTTCACTTACTTGTAGCTTTCAGATTCTTTCGACGAAGGTAATTTCTCTCAATTCTCTCTTCACTTACAAATCTCTTTGAATCAACGAGTAATTTCATCTTCCTTGCTTTTCTCTGCATTTGGATCTTGAATCGCAGGTGTAGGATTATCGATTATCGTGGTTGGAGTTTTTTTCTTTTTCTATTTTTTTTCTTTTTCATTCTCTCGCGATCGGGTAGTTAAGTTTTCAGTTTATATAGCTAATTGGAACAATGGGCACCTCTGTCAAGGGCAACTCTGTAAAGGGCCTCTTAAAAGGACTAAGATACATTTCACAGATTTTCGGTATGTTTTCGATTTCGTTATCGTTTTCGTTCCAAAAGGATTGGGACTTGATTGATTGATTTGATGGAAATTTGCAGATGAAAAGGAACAGGAAATGCAGATTGGGCTTCCCACTGACGTTAAGCATGTTGCTCATATTGGATGGGATGGTCCATCTGGTAATCAAAATAATCCTGGCTGGGTAAGAACAATCAAAGGATGGAATCTCACCCTTTTCTGATTTTATGTCGTGTTTTTAAAGTTTTGTGAACGTCGATTTGGATTTTGTGGATGTTGGGAAATTGCACAGATGAACGAGTTCAAATCCTCGCCACAAGACTCGGGGGATTTGGTGAATACTAGTGGGGAACTCCCCATCAAAGGTTTGCTTCATCTTCTTCTACTTTTATCTGAAAATTTTAATTCGTTTACTCATAGAAAGTTAAGGTTTAAATGGCACTCTAGTTTATGAATGTGTATTCGTTTATTCTTTGGATGAATCATTCAACCTGCGAAAAATATAAAGCTAATAGTTTAATCATGTGCATTGATAAATGATTCAACATTTACATAGCTCATCATGTCAAAATGGAAATTCAGGACTGTTTACATTCAAGTCATGAATATAGATGTTTGATCTATTGTATTTTGATTGCCTAGTCTTGGTGGCTGAGATCTGGTTTAGAATGCTGGTACATTGTTGTATCTTTTAGAGTTTCTGAGGATGGTGAGGTGATGTTGGTAATGGAAGTTATGTTTGTATAGAGTCTGGAGAGATAGATGTGCAAAAGGCAAATCGATCTCGAAAGTCGAAATCGCAAACATCATCAGACACATCTTTAGACTCTTCTTCTGCTCGGCGACACTCTGAGAAAGGTTCTAGGCGACAACGCTCATCCTGCCCTTCAGGCGAATCTGCTGCAGAAGGTAGTAATCGAAGCTCACGACGTCATCGTAGTTCGAATCAAGGGGGTTCATCAAGCTCAGAAAATCCTGCCCCAAAACACTCACATCGGAGGAAATCTAAGGGGTCATCTGACGGGGGTGAATCAACAAAATCCTCTAGATCAAGGGAGAATAACTCTTTAACAGACATACCAACCCCAGCGTTGGAAGCAGTTGATGAAGAACAGGGGTGAGCAGAAATTCCAGACAAGGAACTAAACGGCATTCTAGTCGAGCTGGGTGCTCCAGATGGATTCTCCTTGCCCGTATATGAACATAATTTTGTTGCCTTGGAGATGATATGAATCATATGACTTTAGCTTCAGTCATCAGTTATAATTTTATCACCAACAAAGTTGTCTGTGTAAACATGTAACCAACAGTCATTCTTCAAACGATGACCCACACATAATCTGAAGCTTGAATTTATATATTCAGCGCCCCTTTTCAATGCAGTGGTATGATCCTCATAAATCACTGATTGACAGAACCATTGTAGTCACAAATAACAGCACTTAGATAGAGCTTATTGTTGCACTGTCAGTCTTGCATATTTGTGTAGCATTTGGAACATTTCATTTCTCGGGTAATACAATTCTCTTAGATCACCTAGAAAATTCTCCAACTGTCTCCCTTAAACCACTGTTCCATCCATGTCTAACAAGGATGCCATAGAAGCTTTTGGGTGTTCAGAAAGCCTTTTAGGCTGTCAAGACTCATAAGAGCCTGCAGTGGATTTGGATTTATAAGCACTGTCATTAGATAAACTAAGTTCTTGGGAGGGAAGCCAACAAGGAACACTATCTTTATTGGGATGAGACCTTCCAGAGAAACCAAAAGCAAAGTCACGAGAGATTATGCTCAAAGGGACTCAAAGTGGACAATATTATAGCATTGTAGAGATTCGTAGTTCCTAACATAGTATTAGAGTCATGCCCTTAACTTAGCTATGTCAATAGAATCCTCAAGTGTTGAACAAAGAAGGTGTGAGCCTCAAAGGTATAGTCAAAAGTGACTCAAGTGTCGAACAAATGATGTACTTTGTTTGAGAGCTACAGAGAAAGGAGTCGAGTCTCAATTAAGGGGAGGTTGTTCGAGGGCTCCATAGGCCTCAAGGGAGACTCTATAGTGTAGGAGGATTGTTAAGGAATGTTGGGAAGGGAGTCCCACATTTGCTAATTAAGGAAATTATCATGAGTTTATAGGCAAAGAACACCATCTTTAAGAGGTTATGCGCAAAGTAGGACAATATTATACCAATGTGGAGATTCGTGATTACTAACAAAACCATTTCTGATTTTTAAGCTCTGACTGATCAATACATAGATGAAGACAATGAAACTACTTACAGTGAACAATGTAGAAATCCAGACACTTTATGCTTTCCTCTTCCTAACTATGGTTACAGCAGTTGATCTCTAAGTTTCAGTTCGTATCGAAGATTCGATAACGAAACCAATAACAATACTAAACAATGATGGATGGTATAATTTCAGACTTTAGGGGAGATGTTTAAACCTGAGGGTGCAGCAAAGGGCATGCATCATGGCTGTGATGATATTATGAAATAACAAACACTCTGAGTTCTCCTCTATCTCCTCTGGTGATCCGAGTATCATTGTCAAGGTAAGTGACTTCAAAGTCGCCACTTCCAGTGTTGGATGGAGGCCTTAGCGCATCTGGAAGCCGAGGTACCTCTAATGGAGGAAGCTGTGACAAGTTTCCAGTGGCTTTCACGGTGGTTTTCTGAAAAGTTATCTTTATCTTAGCAGAACCTGATCTCAGTACAAGTAGACAATAGAACAATTCTTCTGGTTAAGACATGGGAAGTTGCATAGCAATGGCCTTGTAATTGTAACACCATAAGGTGAAGAATATCCTTAGAGAACCAACCTATGATTTCAAACACGTGAGCTAATGTAGCAGTAACTTCAGCAGGAGGTAGTGGCCAAGGAGCACCTAACTCGAGCTCTACGATGTTGTCGAAATCTTTGCTGATGACGTCGATCCGCTGAAAAACCTATTGATGGAAATTTGAAAGTCAACCTTGTTAGAAACCACGAGTCTCTACAATGGTATGATATTGTCCACTTCGAACATAAAGATTTTCCTAAAAGACCTCGTACCAAAGGAGATGTATTTCTTATAAACCCCTGATCAACCCCTTAATTAGTCGATGTGGGGCTCCTTTCCCAACAATCCTCCCCTCGAACAAAGTACACCATAGAGCCTTCCCTGAGGCTTATGGAACCCTCGAACAGCCTCCCTTTAATCAAGGTTCAACTCCTTCTCTAGAGCTCTCAAACAAAGTACACTTTCTATTCAATACTTGAGTTCCTTTTGAGTACACTTTCGAGGCTCACAATTTATTTGTTTGACATTTGAGGATTCTATTGACATGACTAAGTTAAGGGCATAGCTCCGGTACCATGTTAGGAATCACGACTCTCTACAATGGTATGATATTGTCCACATTGAGCATAAGCTCTCATGGCTTTGCTTTGAGCTTCCCCAAAAGGCCTCATACCAATGGAGATGTATTCCTTACTTATAAACCCATGATCGTTTCTTAAATTAGCTAACGTGGGACTCCCTCCCAGCCATCCTCAACACAGAGGAAAACGAACATTGTTCACTAAATAAGTTTTGTTAGTCATTTTGTTTGCAAGTTGTATGAGAAGAAGAAGCACTCATGTCCGGTTCTATAGTAGAGATAGAATTGAGAAACGACCAACAACAATAGAAATCAGAAATACTGCACCTGACCAAGAGTGATCGGAAGTAGCCTTCCCGTGGGAGGTCCCGGTCGACTTCCGCCTAGAGTGCGAGACGAGAATGCACTACTGTATATCAGTTTCCATCTCCCTTGCAATTTGTCAAGATCAACTGAGAGGTCCACAGGCCCTCCAGCAGCTTCAATCTCTTTGGCAGCCTCATCTGCCTTCTGTAAATCACCCTCATTTGCAGCAAGACCTCTATTTAACCCGGAAACCGCACTCTAGTATAATGAAAAAGAAGAGCAAGTTAGGAACCACGGATCTCCATGATAATATGATATTGTCCAATTTGAGATAACCACTCATTAGGACTCCCTCCCAACAATTCTCCACATGCTATACTTAAGCTTCTACATGTGTTCTTGACTGTTGACACCCACTTTCAATCAATCAATTGAAACAGAGGAATGAGAGGCAAAAGAGAGACCCACCAGTAGCTTGATCTTCAACGATGCAAGCAGTTCAGCGTTAGCCTTGTAATCATCAACAAGAGAAGGAGAGGAATCGGAAGCCGACTTCAAATAGAAACTTCTTCTGGGTCGGCCGTCGCCGGAACGCAGAGGCCGGCGGCTGGAACACTTGAGCTTGAAATTGGGTGCAAACCCATGGATTCTGGGTGGAGATAGAAACCCAGAAGAAGAAGAATCGGAAGAACAGATCTGGAGTGGCGAGTGAAGCACAGAGCTCGCTAGAGCAGCCATGGGTACGTTGATTGAGTGGAGAGGGAAACTGTTTGTTTCTCGGGAAAATAATTGAGGGAAGAACAGAAAAACAGGGAAAATTTATGAATCATCAATTGAATGGTTAGCAACGGTGGAACATTGTAGAAATCGAAGCAGGATCAATGGAGGTGAGATGCAGAGCGTGGACTGGTGGGACAGATAGGATTTGAGTGGAGCGATATGATTGGTTCCCGAAATGCCACGTGGTTCTGTCTAATTGAGATTTGAGATCTAGATTGCATCTTCCCGCTATAATCTCTTTGGATAAATAAATCTTTTTTTTTATAATTAAAGTATATAGATATATATTAAAAGTTATATTCTAAATATTTAAAATTTTATTTTTAAGAATGGTTTCAAAATAAATAATTGAAAAAATTAAATAAAATTAAAAATATATATGTAAATTTTTCAATATTGCTAGTGGTCCGACTCACTTTCTTTTATCACTATACTAGTCTTCGACATCCCAGTAATCTCAAAACTTTAATTAAATAATTTAGTAGAAACATTCTAATTATACCAATTATCTCGTTCAAATTATTAATTTGTTATTAAAATAAAATTAATTTATATTAATGACTTAAAATTAATCTTAATTAGTAGGATTGAGATTAATTATTGTAGGTAAAGAAAAAAAAATTAATCGGAATTAAGTTAGAAAAATCTTTTGAATTAAATTGGATTGGATTATGCTGTTATTTTATTAAAAATTTTATATCAGGAAAATGTTGGACTGTAATTCTATTTTTGGATTAGTCGGGTTAATTCAAGAAGCTAAACTAACTTTTATAGTTTGAGTTGAGTAGTTGAGATGGGTAAATTTGGGGGACGAGGAACCCCTTAAAAAAAATAATTTTTTATTCCTCTTATTAGAATTGTATTGATGAGTAAAATATTGTTTACAAAATATTGCCACCAATTATTAAGCTTTTAATTTATGGAAAAAAGAAAACACTAAGGAACAAGCTCAAACATGTTGTCGCTTCCTGACAAAAGCAGAGCGTTAAGTGAAGAAAGCAAATGAAATTCAAAAGCTAAAATTCAGATTCAATTTCCCGCCCAAACCAAAAATCGAATCCCTCCTTCATTCCCCCATTTCTGCATTCTCCAAATTCATATCCATCACTGAAATCAAATCCCTCTCCACTCCAAATCCAGATCTCAACATCCCCTCATAATTTTTATCTGTATCGATTCCCATTTCATCCCATCATCACCGGCAAATCCACGCCACCGATGTCGGCTCGCCGTCTCCGAGATCGCAGCGGCGGATCCGCTGCCATCAAGCCTTCCAAACCTGTAACTCCGCTCTCATGTTCCAATCAGAAGACTCATTCAGATTCATCCTGCAGATTTTCGTCGGCGGGGAAAGAGAATCCGAAGTCCACGCCTAAGCTTCCGATGATGGCTCAAAAGCCCTCGATCCGGGCTGTGCCGCGAGTGAACAAGGCTGCGGCAATCGCTGTTAACGACGGCGAAAGTCGTGCTCGGTGGTCCACGTCTTCGGTTCCGAGAGGTAGGAGCTCTAGTCCTTCTGAGTTTATTAGGGGTTCTGTTGATTCTCGTAGGGAGCGGAGGGTTTCGGTTGATCGAGTGAGGGGTTCTGTAGGGGAGAATTATCAAACGACTGGGGGAAGAGGTTCGAGCGTTAGAGGTTCTGATAGTGATAAAACGAAAGTAGGAGTTAAGGATCTGGATGTGATTGTGGGAGGAGGAGGGCTAACTGGATTGAGAGTTTATAGGGAACTGAAGGAAAATGTAAAGCTTCGAGCGAATATGGACGGTAAGAATCGGATTTCTGAAGCTAACCAACCGCCTGATGAGGAGAAAATTGAGGGCAAACCACTGGGATTTAAGGTTTTGGGAAGCCATAGTGGGGAAGCCATTGATGATGCTTTAAGAAGCGATGGAAATGGTAAAAGTTCAATCGTTCCCGAGAAACTACAGAGGGTTTCTATAATTAACGAAGAAGAAGAGGAGAAACCCAGTTTGAAATCT